GAGGAGGAGGAGGAGGAGGAGGAGGAGGAGGAGGAGGAGGAGGAGGAGGAGGAGGAGGGGGGGAAGGAGGAGGAGGGGGAGAAGGAAGGGGGAAGAGGTAGGAAGAAAATGGCGGAGGAAATGGAGGAGGAGGAACGGGTAGGACTATTCATGAGGAGGAGGAAGAGGAGGAGGAGGAGGAGGAGGAGGAGGAGGAGGAGGAGGAGGAGGAGGAGGAGGAGGAGGAAAAGGAGGAAAAGGATTACCCCGGGGATTACCCTGAGAGGTACGGATGTACCGAAGGCTGCGTTCGCACTGGGGGGTTCCTGTGGCATGTGCTGCTGCTGCTGCTGCTGTTGCTGTTCTTGCAACTCCCCTACTCATGCAGGCACTGCTGACACTGCTGGCAACGGGGATCGACGCAGCAATGCCCCCTCCCTCGCTTGCACTGCTGGCACTGCAGCCAACAGGGGCGACACTGCCGAGATTGCCACCTGGGCGTCTCTCTCATACAGCAAATCACGAACTCTGGCGGGCATACCTGAGGATGGGGCCACACACCTTTACAGAGACGCCTGAGGTTCTGCTCTCTTTTAGCTCTTGTTATGCTCACAAGGCTCTACAAGGGAGGCTGCAAGCAAGCTGATGCAGCATCCGCACGGGGGGGCAAACCTACAAGGCAAAAGCACCCACATACAGGAGGGTGCGCGTTCGGTGGAGCTCCTCCCCCCTGACGCTCAGGCATGACCCCGCCGTGGACGCCCCACCCGCCCCGCCGCCCTCTCTCTGGACGCGCGCCGCTCCTGCACCTCTGAATTGTGGCGGCTGGCACGGGGACCTCACGAACCACTCGCGATCTTTGTGCAGGGCCAACTCTTCGCGGCAGCTGCAATGCCACCGAGCCCCGAGACGGACGAGGTGGTTTCACGACATGGAAGTTACGAGCGCCTGCTTGCACAGCCTGGGAGGTCGGGGCCCAACGCCAGATACCATTGGGTCGGCTGGCATGGCATCAAGCGTGGCACGGATAGCGCGCTTGCGACTCAAATGTGCGCAAGCAACCATGAGGCCGACACCAGGCTGTTCGATGGCTCGCGAGAGCGAGCGGCCTGCGCCCTGTGCGGCAAACGCATCTGCACAAGCGTTGCCCGCGATGTCCTCCAGCTGCTGCTCGCTCTCGTCGCCAGTGAGCCGATTGTCCTGGTGGCTAGGCATGAGGGCCACGTCGACAGGGCGGTCGCCGCGCTCGATCGGGGCACGGCTAACCAACCACAAGAGATCAGCATTGGCCCCATGCGGAGCTCTCCATTTCTGTCGCCCCCACCCCTGCACCAGCGGCACATTGCCAGTGTACTGCCGCGAACCAGTGCAATATCTGAACGCATATACCATTCCCAATATCTCAGCACGTGGTACCCGCTGCCAGCCAGGGAGCCCCGCTGCCAGCCCCGCTGCCATTTCCATGCCGCTCATGATGACTACGCCGACGCCGCGGCGTCGGCGAGGGCGCGAGCCGCGTGCTCCGCCCGACCCACCGCCGTGCACCTTCAGCGCGCCTCCAACGTCACTGCGCAGTACACCTGCCGTCTCCCAGTCACCGCTGATCTCCTCCATGCATCCGTCATCCCCGGGGAAGCGGCGCCGAATCCAGCTGGCAAGGGGGGCTGCGCGCAATCGCGCGCGCGGGGTAGCGCCGTGGCCGCCCACCGCGCATTGCACCAAACTCTGCGAGACAACGTAGTCCGGGCGATCCGTGTTGCAGCGGCTTGTCCAGACGCGGTGCATCGGCGTCTCGCCATCCAGGGGACATAGGGGCGAGACGTTGAACTCCTCGTCTCGCTACTTGGTTCTGGTCCAGGACCTTCCTGCGATTCATGCATGATCATACCGCATTGACTGTAGTCCCCGTCGCGCTGCGGGCGCGCTAGGTGCCTCCTAGCTTGGTGCAGGTCAGCACCGTTCTCCAGCCCAACTCCAGCATCACGTCGCGCAGTTCGCTACCACTGCGCGCGCAAGATGCCGGCCGCGAGCTCGCCCAGCTCGGCGCCATTCTGCCATTCTTCGCCGATTTCGGACCTCTGGCGCGCGGCTGCAGGCGCGCCCCAGCCAGCCTGCAATTGCGCGCCGATGACTGCGGAGATGGCTCCACGAACTCGCGCCCACCACCTGGCTAGAGGCTTCGCCTTCAGCTGCCAGTAGAGACCCAGGCTCTGCTCGGTGTCGGTGCTGGGGATGGCGCCTCCAGAAATGCAACCACTCCACCAGCGACTGCCTCGGGAGGCCAGCCCTGGGCCCTCGCGTCGTCAGAGACGCCGAGCACCGAGGTGAGGTACCTCCCGAAGCCTTTGCCCGCGACTGCCTCGGCTGCCTGCCCGCGCAGGCGCAGCGACATGCTGGGGGCGATGCCGAGCACCTGGTGGCCGCGTGCGCAGGGGGGCAGTGCTCCGCCGCGGTTGAGCATCCTCGCGCACTTGCCGAGGTGCGCCTGGCGTCGCTTGCGTGCTATGCCTCGGGTCCGCTTCGCTGCTCCAGCCACTCTCTTCTCGTGCTGCTTCTGGTCGCGACTCTCGGCCGCCGTCGCGCCGACGCCCAGGCCCGCTGCGCTGTGAGCCGGCTGCGCTTGTATTCCGAATGACCGGGCCGGTCTCCACCTGCTTGGCGACCGTCGCAGAGGATGCTGCGATCGCTGACTTGGCCGAGGTGGTGAGCTGAGCCTTGCGGCGCTGGTCGGCGAAGATATCCAGCGCGTCTCCCATGGCCTCCACTGCCCTGGTCGCGGTGCCCTCTGCGCGGAAGCTGGCGTCGTCCACGGTCGCCCCGGGCCCCGCCGTCGGGGCGATGCTGCTGACCGCCTACAAGAGCGGGTGCTGGAACAGCTTGGCCACCTTCACTCCATGGCTACTGCCTGCCACGATGGGCCTCTCTCGGCGTCGACGGCCCCGCCGGCCCAGCCGTGCCCGCGCAATCTGCGCGGTGCAAGGTAGGCCTGAGCTTCCAGCGAGATCACTGCCGCTTGGAAAGCCTCCTGCCCGGCCGCCTCCAGCAGCGCGATCAAGTCAATGCTGTCGAAGAACTTCTGCGCATCCAGATGCGCGTCGGTGGCGCAGAACTGCATGGCCACCGCGCTCTCGCCCAGCACTGATCGACACAGCGCAGCTCTGAGGGCGCTGCTGCCTCTGATGGCAGCACCCCAGCGTCGCTTGAACCACCCGTCGGTCGCCGCGGCTCTCGCCCTGGACCAGCACTGGATCAACAATGGCAGTGCCCCTATCGCGCGGTCGCCCCTCTGGATTTCGGGGGGAGGGCCAAGATGGCGGTGGGGACCGGCTGTGGCCAGACCAGCTCCTCCTCGACTACGTTGAGGATGCCCACCCATTCTTGGACCGCCTCGTCGGGCAGCCTGCTGAAGTCTGAACGGCGGAGAGCGTCCGCGCCTATGGCCTTAGGCGCAGAGATCGCCACCAGCGAGCACCGCACCTCCTGCAGGGTGAGCCTCGGCAAGCTGTCCTCCTTGGCTCGCTGCGCCGTGCGCTGGGGCCAGCTGCCCCATTGTTCCTCGTCAAAGGTGGGGGGCCTCCACACTGCATCCCATTTTTTTTTTTCTCTCTCTCTCTCTCTCTCTCTCTCTCTCTCTCTCTCTCCCTTCCTCTGATTATCTCTTTCTCTCTCTAAGCTGCATCTGGCGCACGGGGTCGACCGGGTCGGCAATGGCGCTGTCCAGCTGGACCGTCTCAAGCTGTGCTGGACCATCCCCCTTCACCTGCTTGCGCAGCGGTCCAGGGGCCTTGTGCCATGAGTTAGCGACCCATCTGGAGCGCTGGCGGCCCGCCTGAGTCTGCGCACGCCCCGTTGCGCGAGCTGCCTACTTGGAGGTGATGTCGCTGAACTCCCCCATGAGCGCGAGACTGGCGTCTTCCTGCGCCATGGGGGCGAGCATCTCCCGCCGGCGCTCAAGCTCCTCCAGCAGCCCGCGCATGCCGAAGTACTCCGCGTCCTTGGCAAGCTCTCCCCCGTCAAGACCGACCTCGCGAACCTGGGCTTCGATCGTCGCCAGCCCTCGGCGTCTCTGCGCGGGGTCTGCTCCGCTGCGGGGGAGGGCGTGCGCCCGTGCAGCTGTGGCCGAGACGATACCCCACCATTCTGCAGCGGGGTTGGCGAAGTGGGTTCTGCCAGGGACTGCCTTGGTCTCGCGGATCGCGCACCTGGCTCCCTGGGCTCTCCCTCGCATGGCCGCCGCTCGAGGTTCTCTCACTCCCTCGTGCTGTAGCGTGGCCTCGTCCAACGCCGTGATCCAGTCCCCGTATCGCTGCGAGAGGCGCTCGCCGGCATCGGCGCCGCCCCCGCGGGCTGCGCGTGCTGCCGAGAAGTCATGGATTCGACATCGGGCGAAACCGTCCGCCTGC